TCGCGCCGCCGGCCCCAGGCTTGAAGCGAGGCTCTTTGCACACCACAGGTGGCTTTTTTCCGTGATAGGCAATCTGTCCTTTTCCCTTCTGGCAGTTGGGGTTCACGTGTGGGGGGAGGGGGCTTGCCTCAGTAAACAGGTGTTGGGCGAATCTCCCCTCCCCATAAAGCAAGTGAAAATCGGGACACACGCCCGCGTCTTGGAGCGCAGTCACCCAAGTCCCGTGCGCCCTGGCCAACAGGTACCCCACTCCGGAGCGGTGCTTTGGGGAACGCAGCGGGGCCGCCACTCGGGAGTCACCAGGTCTCCCTCCACGCCTACTCCCCCCCGCCCCCCACCGCTGTAGACAGTGTCCGATTCTTGCATCCAAACATCCTGGGACCAATTTAAAACGCATTTCCTGGTCCATAAATCCGCAGGCAGAAGCCGGGTCCCAAGCTCTCCCGGAACTTGCGCTACAAAGGTGCGGTCGACTGGAGGGGAGGAGGAGGGAGGGGGGAGACTGCCCAAGGTCCCGGCTAATTGGAGGACGGGCAGACGACTGAGAACTGCCAGCCAGGCCTTAGAGACTCAGAGGAGGCGCAGTCCGGAGCCTCCGGGTAGCCCGGGGCCCTGCTGGCACCTGCCTGGCCTGAGAGAATCACGGGATCAGCCCCTCCTGGGAGACCCAAAGTTCCACCTCACCCTCTTGCCTTGGACGCCAAAGCACCGACCACCCCTCCTTCCCCATGCGCTGAGGAGGGACATTTGGGGTGTTGGGTTTGTTTTGTTTTGTTTTGTTTGGGGCAGTTATGTGACTCAGTGCACCCTCTGGTCCTGTCTCCTGGGCTCCCCTTGGAAGGTTCTCCACAAGCCTGGAGTGGAGGTAGTGGGTTGGCAACATCCTGGACTTTACTGGAAGCTATCAAACTGCTCTCCAAAGTGCCAGGAGCCAGTCACCTCCCACCCTGGGTGTGGTTCCCTACCCCTGGGCGACACTGGTATTCCCAAGCTTCTGGCGTTTCCATTTATTTCATCTTGTCCGTCTGAATAGACCTGGTATCGTATCTCAAGGTGGCTTTCTGTCATTGAAACATGGCATGTAAATATGTGGTCAAACAGGCAGCACACTGGGTTCCCACAAGATTCGGGTTCAAATCCTGGCTCCAGGGTCTGCAAGCTGTGTGGCTGTGGGCAGTCACTGAATGTCTCTGACCTCGGATTTCTTTTCTGGAAAATGGGGATGAGAAAATTCCCCTAGGGTGACCATGAGAATTCAAGGAACGAAGCACTCGGCTCAGTCAGCACTTGGGAAGCAGGAAGTAGAGTTATTAGAAGGCCAGCACCCCCATTCCCCCTTCCCCCATCGAGGGTCGTGGACACCCACATGTGGACACTCGGTCCTCAGCTGCTGAAATAAACCTTGCAGGACTCCGGTGCACTACGTTGGCTCCCCTCCATTTTCTCCCCAATCCTTTCTTTGCTCATTCAGCAGCCCTTCCTCACACACACACTGTGGATGAGCTGAGATGCTGGTGGAAAGGGTGACTGGTCCTCATACTGGTTCCCAGCACATCCCTTTCCACCCCTGCGCCCCCCACCAGTGCCTGTGCTTCCAAGTCCCCCTCCCGCCCCTGCCTCCAGCAGGGACCGGCTCTCACCACTGAAATGCAATGCGCGTCTCAGAGGCCTTTGCTGTGTGTAGTTTGGAAGTCGCTCTCCCATCACACAGGGCTGGCCACACTGATTTCATTTGGGAGGGAATTCTCCAAGGCTATGAGCATGGTACCACCCAGCAATTCACAAACAAAACCCAGGGAGGGGGACAAAAGCTGTCACCCAAGTGAGTGCTGTGGGCACTGGGGCAAAGACCTCCCTCCTTGAATGATGTGAACATCACAAACCCTCTGCCTCGCCTGTTCCTACCTACAGCCTTTCTGGCCGCCAGGCTCTTGGGCCCTCTGTTCCTGCTACCCAATCTCTCTTCCCAGGCTGAGAGTTTTCTGTTCTCAGCTCCAGAGAGGCCTCCTGACTTTGCGAGAGGAAGATGGCCCCACTTTCATGGCTATAGAAACCTGTTTGTCCCCTTCAGAGAGCTTAGCCACCAGTGCTTGCCCTTTCGTCTACACCTGTGTTTACCATGCCACTGAAATGTCCATGTGATCTCCTTGCAGTGTGAGGAGGACGCTCCTTCCATCAAGAGGTGGGTCCGACATCCCCCTCCTCGTGAATCTGGGCTGGCATCTGAGTGTCAAAGAAGTGATGCTGTGTGACTTCAAAAGTTAAGTCATAAACAAGCTGGATGCCATGACTCACCTAGGAGTTTGAGACCAGCCTGGGCAACATAGCAAAACCCTATCTCTTAAAAAATATATATAGGCTGGATGTGGTGGCTCATGCCTATAATCTCAGCAGTTTGGGAGGTCGAGGTGAGAGGATTTGCCTGAGCCCATGGGTTCGAGACCAGCCTGAGCAACTTGGTGAGAGCTCATCTCTACAACAAATCAAGAAAAATTAACCAGGTGTGGTGGTACATGCCTGTAGTTCCAGCTCCTTGGAAGGCTGAGGTGGAAGGATAGCCGGAGCACAGCAGGTTGAGGCTGCGGTAGCCAAGAGCATGCCACTGCCCTCCAGCCTGGGTGACAACTAAAAAAATAGATAGATAGATAGATAGATAGAGATATAGATATATAGCTGGGTGTGGTGGTGAGCACCTGTAGTCCCAGTTACTTGGGAGGCTGAGGTGGAAGGATCACCTCAGCCTAGGAGGTCGAGTCTGCCATGAGCTGTGATCATCGTGATTATGCCACTGCACTCCACCCTGGGCAACAGAGTGAGACCCCGAATCAAAACAACAAAACAGAAAAACAAAGCTTAGGTCACAAATAGTGATGCATACCTCATGCTCTTGGGATGCTTGAGCTTGAAACAGTCACAACTGAAGGAAGCCCGTGCAGCCCGTGAATAGGCCACAAGGAGAGACACCAGGGCTGCCAACCACAGCCAAGGCAATACGCCTAGCCACCAGCCAGCAAGGGCCGTGAAAGGGTGTCCTCTTCAGAGCAGGCAGGTCACCCAGCTAAAGCAGAGTGGAGCAGAGACAAGCCTTTGACATCATGTCTGGTCATCATTTCAATTTCTGGTCAAAATAAATGATTGTTGCTTTAAGCCAAGCATCATGCAAACTATAGCCTGGAGATCAAATCTGGCTCACTGCCGGTTTTTATAGATAAAGTTTTATTGGAACACAACCATGCCCAGTTGTGTTATCAGTTATCTATTTCTATAGTGGCTCTTACACTACAGCACCAGAGCTGAGTGATCCAGACACAGTGGCTCATGCTTATAATCCCAGAACTTTGGGAGGCTGAGGTGGGATGGTTGCTTAAGCCCAGGAGTTCAAGAGTAGCCTGGGCAACGTGACAAGAAGAAAAGCTGAGTCGTTTTGACAGACACCATGTAGCCCATAAAGCCTGAAATGTTTACTACCTTGTCCTTTACAGAAAAAGTTGACCAAGCCCTGTATATTCATCTTCAAGGGCTGTCGTTTCAAAATCCCACAGACTGGGTGACATAAATAAGAAAAACTTCTCTTCTTGTCTTTTTAAGCTAAAAGTTCCAGATCAAGGTCCTGGGGAATTAGTTTCTAGTGAGAGCTCTCTTCCTGGCAGACTGCCACCTCTTGGCTGCATCAGGACCCAAGCCTCCCTCCTGCTGGGCCCTGCAGTCTCTTCCCTCATCCTGGTCGCTTTGTTTCTGCTCTCCACTGATCAACCTTCTCTGCTGCGATCTGCTCTTCCTATCCTGACAATCACTAACCTGGACCCTCAGGGTCCTGAGTCCTGAGTCCAGTGACACAGATTTGGCCTGATCAGGTGTCTATTCCTGTTCTAATCAGCTGTGGTCAGGGGTTGGGGTCCTGCCTGATGAGGGCAGGAAGATTTGATGGGCATTTTTAGTGCCCATAGAGGAAGCACATTCTGAGCCCCAAACTGGGGTGTGTATTCTGTCAACGAGTCAGGTGATTTAAAGAGAAGGGAAGGGCTTTGAGAAAAATGACAGGCATAGGCTGGGCATAGTGGCTCACTCCTGTAATCCCAGCACTTTGGGAGGTGGAGGCAAGAGGATTGCTGGAACCCAAGGGTTCGCGACCAGCCTGGACAACTTGGCAAAACCTCTTCTCTACAGTAAATAAAAAAAATTAGCTGGGCATGGTGGCCCATGCCTATAGTTCTAGCTACTTGGAGGGCTCAGGCGGAAGGATCATCTGAGCCCAGCAGGTCAAGGCTGTAGTGACTGTGATTGTGCCACTGCACTCCAACCTGGGCAACAGAGTAAGATTCTGACTCAACAAATAAAAAAAAAAGGGCATAATGTTATCTCCTTACTTCCTTACTAAGAACTAGAACTATCTATGACCCCAGAGAGCACTGTCGCTGGCCATTCAATTTCAAGATGATAATAATTATTAAAAGAGAGGGGGAGGAAGGGAGGAAGAAGAGGAGAAGCATGCAGATGTAATTTGGTTGGATTAACAAAAGGAAAGAGAGAGGCTGTGGCGGTGGGGATGAGGACAAGAATGGGGAGGATGATGACAGTGATGGTGATGATGGTGATGGTAATGATGATAATGGTTATGACACTGATGGAGATGATGGTGGTGGTGACGGTGGTGCTGGTGGTGGTGATGTGAGGGTGATAAAGGTGGCGATGATGATGATGATGACGGTGATAGTAATGATGACGGTGGTAATGGTGAGGATGACGGTGACGGTGGTGATGGTGGTGATGAGATGAGGATGACTTCTCTGGCTCTGTGCTGAACACTTTACATTCTCATACTTAATTCTAAGACAGCTTTATGAGGCTGATACTGTCAATGTTCCCATTTTGCAAATGAGGAACTCTGAACCCTACACACGTCAACTCACTTGCAATGAACTCACTTGCAACAAGCAAGCAGCGGGCAGCAGAGCACAGACTCGCAATCCCCACGCTCTCCCACCTCATGTGTTCACACATCCCCTTACTGAAGGGAGTTTTCTCTGCAGCCAAGCCACATGCTTGTATAATTTGATGAATAACCATGTAATGACCACCTGGATCAAGGAATTAAACATCACCCGCAGTCCCAAAGCCCGCTGTGCACCCTGTCCAGTCATAAAGCTTTCCTCCCCCAGCGGAACCCATTGACCTGAATTTCTACTTAGCATTGTTTTTCTTTGTAGCTATGCCCCTGTGTGT